ACACACACACATACATATATATGTATTTATATATGTATGTATTTTTGTGTGTGTGTGTGAACCTCTTCAAAAGTGATGTCAAGTACTCTTACTTGGAAGAGGAAATTCAGTAATAGGCTGAATTTTTTTAGGTCACATTTGTAACCCTCCTCTTGGGTCCATTCTTATCAAGTTGGCCCCTGAAAAGGGATTCTACTATCTGACCCACTGGGAGGATTTAGTGTTGTAAATCTGCTCTGGTAAGGGAAGGAAGGAGCCACTGCCTGGTTCAGTGTGACTGTTCCCTGCATCCCCACGATGCAGCTGCCCAGGTAAAATCTGTTCTCTCTGCATGTGTCTCAGATGAAGACAACATGGTGCAGAGCAGGCTGCATCAACTGGAAAAACATGAATGAAGTGAGCATGGAGGCTCTGCAAAAGATCTGTGGGGTCCTGTTACCACCACACGATCTAGCAACTAACTCAATGGCTCACAACTCGCTTTCTTCACTGGCAGTGTACACTCTCTTAATAAAACAACAAAGTCTCCTTTGATTCAAGGCAATGATTACCCTAAGACAATACTCACATAGAAATAGTTTTGTGTCTTACATGAACACCAACACTGACCTGAGAGAAATAATTTCTTAAGAATTCCTGGTTCACTCCAACAGGACTGGCTTGAGCTCCAGTGACTGTAACAGCGGTGGTCACGTCTCTGAAAGATGTGACTGGTCTTTTGTTGAGGGTATCAATGTCGATTGATCCTATACCCTGGCTAGGCCCGACAGAAATGTTTCTGTTTCCTCTGTAGCTTCCACACAAGTCCATGTGCCCTTTGCCAAGGGGAACAGAGATCTTTTCTTTGTCGATGGCGCCATCGGTTGAGGTACCAGATCCAACTCTAAGGCCCAGGTCGATTCTATCTTTCGGAAGCAGTGGCAAGTCCTGAGAGACCAAATAGAGTTGAGAACTGAGTCAGATGGAGGAAAGGCCAGGGTGCTTAAAGAATCTGAGCTAAGAAGGCATACAAAAGGAGCAAACTTTTTCCAGGAGCAAATGAGGAGAAATATTTTGGGTTGAATAACTTCTGTCTGAGACTTAATAAAGATCCCCCAATTCTCCTTTCGTGTTTTGTGACCTGATTATAATTCCAGGCGGAAACTTTAAAATACGACCTCAGCTCATGTATTTTCCTGGCACTCAACTTTCCTCTAGAGTTCACTGTCTCCTATGTCTACAGAATCTTCATTTTGTTTTTCTAGCTGGACACCATACACAAAAGTGGCCAAATAAAGACTGTAGTTAAACCTCCACTGCTACTGATTCGGGTTCACATGATTTTAAGCAAAAATGTTTTAAGTAGTGCTATTAAAAAGTTTTTCACTTTCCCTTCTTTGCTGGTTAGAATGTGCGGGGCAGCTGCTGAGTCTTGAACAGCAGTGGGGCATGGGATGTGTCCATGGAGGAAAAAGGAGAGAGCAGGCCCCTGGGGCCAGACTGTGAAGGAATCGTCACTGGGAGCTTGAACTGCCCAAGTCTGTATTTCGGCAACTGAGGCACCATCTGACTCCTGATGCCAGGTCACCCTGTTACCTAATGCTCACTGCCACTGCCGATGCCCTCGTGAGACCCGGGGTGAAGAGGCAGAAGAGACCAGGGGAGATGGCTGTTAAGTAGGTAGGAGAGGAGAGAGACTTTGTAGCATTTTACTTCTGTCACTGAGCCTGCGGTTTACTTTGTCAGCGGTTTACTTTGTCAGCCCCGGCAAAGTATGTGGAGAGAAAGTGAAGCTGGACTGCCATTTGATACAACAATTTCCATCTTACATTCCCCACATTCTTGGTTTCTCTAACCTTTATTCTACATTCTGAGTCAATGCACGACTCACGTTGCTGTGAGACCCCTTTGTGAATGGGCAGTGACCGCTTCCCTTGTGCAGGACTTAGAATGGCAGAGCCACGACCCAAGGCCCCTATAAGATCAGCAAAGAAGACACATTCCATTGATTTTCTGACCTTGTCTTCAGGGGGTGCCCCTTCTTTATTCCAAGGATGCAGCATCTCTATGGTGCCAGGAATGAGCGTGAAGCCTGTGGTGCCCTTTCCACAATGGCACATCAGCAGGAGAACCGGTACCACTGGGCAGAAACAACATCAAGTACAGGGAATGTGAGACCAACGTACATGTACATTTATACTGCATCATCTCAGAATTTGTGTATCACTTCCAGAGTTCAGTCTCCACTTACGTACATCCCAATTTTTCTTTTCCCACCCTATTCCAACCTCACCAAGCTTATGGCAGGATGAGTGATTGAGAAAAGAATAGAAAACCTAAAGGAGGCATCACAAGATTGAAACCTGACTCACACAAAGAGGTGGGGGTAGGTGGGATTAACATGACCATTGACCCAGCCCTAGATATCGAGATCCTCAGGCTCCAGGGCCTGATCACAAGGCATAAGGCCCAGGCAGGTATCAGAATGCTGCAGGGAGTGTCGGGAGCACAGACCTGAGGGTAAAGTTATAGCGATTGGGCCCCTTGCAGAATCTTCAGTCCGATTCCAGTCATCCAAAAGCTAGCATCAAACAGGCCACTCCCCAAAGAAGGAGCCCACAGAAAGGTGTCTACATCGGTGCAGTCTCTGCTCCCCTGTGCCTATACAGGTGTCCTTTCCACCCACTCTCTCCCTCTGCAGGGCAGCAGCCTCCTGCCCACCCTCCCCCACCCCCACCTGCCCCACGACCTGCACCTACAAGTGTTTCTCTGCACTGACTTCCCTCAGCAGAGGCCGCTCTCCTAAGGCCTCCCACCTGTGACCATGCAGGTCGCCTTCCCCGCAAACCTGTCCCTTTCGGGGCAGCTCTTTCCGCCCACTTGTGTTGATGCAAGTGTCCTTCTTTTCTGTCCCTTTTCCCAATAACCTTGCTCTTTAAATATAACTAACGGTCTCTGTCTCGTGGAGAAACTCTCCTGGGAAACTCCTTGTGTGCGCCGCTAAAAGGGGAGCTCTGGTGAAACCTTTCCCAGAGTTAACCCAAGGACCTTGTATTCCACACTCATCCCCCAAAACTACATCTGTTAAGGGGAAGGATGTCCTAAAGGAACTCTGCAGAGTCTTATGGACTCCACCCCCCTACTTCAGCTTTCTGGACCCTACCCCCTACTCCAGGGATTGGAAACTACAACTCCCAGCAGTACCAGGGACAGAACTGCAAGGACCCAAAGGCGGAGCTAGCAGGAATTCTGGGACATTTGGGGGATAAATAGGGCGTGATTGCATGTCTCGCTCTCTCGCTTGGGAAACGGCTCTCCGGACAGAGTGACTCGGTATGTTTAGTCAGCCTAGCTGTAAGGTATTCCACTTACTTTGTATCCCGCTCTCGTACCCTGGGTTGTTTCCTATTCCTTTCGCCTTTTGTAAATAAACCCATTATTGACCCTTTTGTGTGTACCTGCTGGTGAGGCCCCACAGACAGGCCGCCCAGTCCACTCTAGGCTACCCTGTAACAGTTTTTAGAGCCCAATGTGAGGCGTGACTAATTTCACCTGTGATTGACCAACTCAAGCACCTTGCATTGGTCACCTTAAGCACGTTAGGTCTGCAGGTCATGAGAACATTTTTTTTCCCTTTGTATTCAACTCTGGCTGATGTTTACCACTATGACTTTGACCAATTTTTTCCCCCAGTTTAGACTCTTTGAATTTTGTTCTGGCCTTAAATCTCAGTACCCTTTTCCCACTGAATATCACCACCAGTTTTATAAGTATCACTAATCTGGGAAATCTGGTTTATGGCAAATGCTGTTGCTTTTGTTCTCCTCTATGGGTGGCTTTCAAGCCATTCCTGTTTTGCAGTCTGTACTTCTGGGTGTCTTCTTGATACTTCGTATCATCACTTTTTACATTTTTGGCTCTGTGAGAGGAAGTGGAGGGAACTCTGCTTCTTCTACTACAAATATGCAACAAATTCAGGCTTTTACTGAAAACATGCAAATATAGGCCCTTAATTCAGTTATAAACAATATTAAAAATGAGAATCAGATTGCCCTTGGCTCTATCCAAGCCCAGATACAAGGTGTCTTCCAAAAATTAGGTATGACCCAGATCGTCTTATGGCACAGAGAAGGGGCAGTAAGCCCCTCCCTGAGGACTGCAGGAGGGCAGAGTTAGAAGAGGAGGAATTTTACTTGTTGAACATCTTAAACCCTTCAGGAAAGAACTGTTCCTTGAATAGCAAACACTCCTCCTGTGGAAACTCCTAAGGCTTCTGTACAAACTTCTAAGGTTCCTGTGGAAACTCCTGAGGCCTCACAACCTCCATCGCCATCTGGGGAAGGAACTAACATGCTTTCTCACCTTGAAGCAGGGAAGTTCCCTCTTCGACGTATGGCAGTGGGTGGTTTAAATGCACAAGGACAGCCTGTTGGGTATTTTTGGTCACACAATCCTTTTAGCACAGCAGACCTCCTAAATTGGAGGAGCTCTGTTTCTTCTTATAGGCAGGACCCTACAAGGATGGCAAACTTGTTTGCCTCCATCTTTCTCTCTCACCATCCCAACTGGGCAGATATCCAATCAATGTTACAAACTTTATTGACTTCTGATGAGCAAAGGATGGTTTTTAAGAAAGCCAGGGAGGAAACTGATCGCCTTCACCAACAGGATGTAGAATCACCAGAACCAGACATGGCTGTTCCGATGGTAGATCCCAACTGGGACACCAATGGATATGGATATGTTAGAGCTGTATTAAAAGTGTTTATTGGTAGGGCTGCAGCAAGGGATTCCCAAGAAAAAGAATTTTAATAAAATTCTGCAGCTTGAGCAGAGGGCTAATGAGGATCCATCAGAGTTCCTTGAGCGGATTATTCAGACATGCCAAACACATGGATATAAATCCTGATGCCCCAGAAAATGCTCATCTGATCACTATGGCATTCACTACACATAGTGCCCCAGACATCAGGAGGAAATCAGCAAAGGTGGATGGTGTTACTGAGATGAGTCCATCCCAGTTAGTAGACCTGGCATTTAAAGTATGTAATAAGCGAGCGGAAAAGAGACCTAAAACGGCGACTGTTTAAACCGGCGACTGTTTTTGTACAGAGGCAACATAGAACAGAGTTTCAGGGTAATAGTAACAGAATGTAGGTGCACATGAGCCTCAAGGATGGAATCAGTGTGCCTACTGCAAGTAGGATGTCCTAAAGGAACTCTGCAGAGCCTTATGGACATCATTCCCCTTGACACATCAAGGAGGATGAGTGCGTTTTATAGATTCAGAGGCTTTGCCTATCACAAGAGGCTGTTTGTGGTTCCTTAGTAGAACACCAAGACTGGATCTGATAGAATCCAAATAATCAGTGCTGACTTAAAGTTAATTTTTTAAAACCACTTCATTTTTAAAGAGGTAATTTACTATTCCAAAAATAAATAAATAAATAAATAAAAATCAAGAGCTCCGAAGGGTAGAAAATATTTAACATATTCAAATACTTTAGGACACTGGAACTTCCGAAATACTTCACTCTGGAGTAGAATTTTGCATAAAGCATGACTCACTGAGATTTCAATTAACCTTCAAATGACCTAAGCAAAATTCTCTAAAATGATTCTACACTGAATTCCCTTAGAATAGATGTAACCTTACATCTAGAATTCAGTAAAATCCAGGGCTCCTCCCTTTAATTTTATTCTACCTCCAGGAGGAAATGAAGTCAGCACTGGCACCGTGGTCAAGGTACTGAAGAACTAAGAGCACTTGGCACAGGCCACCTCACATTAGCCTCATTGCCAGCCCCAGTCAGCACTTCCAAAGATAAACTGACTGCGCCCTAGATTCCTTTTTATGTAAAATAGTTGCAAGCGAAGTAACCCTAGCTACTAATAAAACGATAGAAATTATTAGGGGCAACTGAACACCAATTTAGCAGATTTCAACAAAAGATATCAGGGATCTTGTGCCCAGTGCCACTTTAGGCCCTGAGGAATCTGAGAAGGCAAAGTAGTGCATGAAATCCCTGAGTAAAAGATGTTTTAGTACCTACCTACAAGTCTGGTAAGCTGAGACTAGTTATTTACATTAAGCCGGTATTTTTGGCCATAAGCTTTTGACTTCTTTCTTTTTCGAAAAAGATTTCTTTATTTATGTATACAGAATTGGGGTACAGGCAGGAGTGGTGAGAGGCTTCACCAGAGACAGAGCGGAGAGCAGAACAGGCTGACTGACTGAGGTACACTTCTGAGGGGGGCAGGGGGCGGTTCAGGAGAGGTCTGCCACGCCATGTGGGTCACCTCTGGGGCAAGAATCGAACTTGCACTGAAGCGGCTGCTGCTCACAGTGCTCACAGTGATGCTCCACCAGGGAGGGCCCTATAAAAGGACATTTCAAACTGCTGAGGATGTGCTTCAACTGAACATCTCCCACTACTAATTTGACGAGCCTTTCCTGTGTCAGTGCAATGGCCCAGGCAGCCTAGAGGCAGCCCTGCCCCTGCTCAACTGTCCAGCAGAGAGACATCCACTTGACCCTGGGTTGCAGTCCTTTGTTTTGTGACAGGAAACCCGAGGTCTTAGAGGGCATGTAGGGAAGGCAGGTGGCTGTCAATGCAGAGAAGCATGGACATGCACAGAAGGTGTGGTTACCTTAGAGGCTGGTGAAGCCAAGAAGAAGGTAATAGAAGGAGAAGGAAGAGGGCCTCTGACAAGCTGAATGGGAAAAGCAAGGATCCATAAGAATAAAATGAGTTTGTATAGTAACCCTATATCCATAATCCACACTCATGCAACCAATGTTTTCTGCATGGTCTAGGCATTGAAATACAGACAACATGACCCCCCTTACAGAGCTTATCCAAAATGGAGACACCAACGTTTTATGCTAAATGACTACTGAAGAGCATGCATAATAACCTGGATAATTAAAATCAGGAAAATACATTTTTATAAAACAAAATCATGAAGAATCCTGCATTTATCATTGATCAATTATCACTGGTCTCCTCACTTCTGAAGGGTGGTTAAAGAATAACTAAAGAAATCAATAATGATCACAGTAACCAAACATTAGACAGTGCACTTAAACAACTAACAGAATTAAGGTGGCTTTTAAATACTTACATAGCAAGAGCAGAAAGGCCAAAATTATGATGGCGATCGCTGAGGGTCCCAGACCCACATCGGAGTCATGTAGTGCTTCGACACAACCACTGCCATCAAGGCACTTACACACAGTGACATCCAGGATCTGCTTTTCAGGGCAGCTGAAGTCCTTAGTGTCGGAAATCAGGAACTGAATTTTACTTCTCCCAAGATTTGGTTCCTTTTTCTCCAATAGCACGTTGGTACCTGCACAGGTAGGAGGCGACAGGAATAAAATGAGAGAGAAACAAGGAAGGGGCGAGGTTAAATTTTGGAGACCTTTTTAGTTGCTAATAGCTAATAATACCTAGCTCTAGTTCTAAGCTTCATTCTTGCTTAAGTTCTCTATTGAATTCATACCAAGTGCATGTTGAAATTATCCAGACAAGTTAATAGTGAAGGACAGGCTACGGAAACCTTACTTTTATGATGAATGTGTGTGTCTACCAAATGCTGGGACTTGTCCCATGAACTGGAAACATGGTAACAAACAAGTGAGTTAAATGCCAGTTCCACTGAACAGCTTTTCTTTTACCATTGCTTCAATAATGGGACTCTTACTATCATACTTCAGAATTTTTAGAAGGCATAACTCTGGCTGCTGTGAAAGGTCCTTCTCAGCTTAGGAGACAAACCACTACTTCTGGAGTAATGTAGAGACTCCCTAGCTAGCTTTAAGATGGTAAGATGACTGTCCTTTTTTCCTTCTTCTATTATTCCAAATGGAGTATTTAGTATAGACAGGTGAGATATTGTATGTAGGTACAGAACCTTTTTATAAACGTTTTTAAAGAGCTATAGTGGGAATATTGGGGTCCTCTTGGTGCAGCAGGTTAGGACGTAGCACTGCAAGCTAGCTGCAGCAGCATCAGTGCGAGTTCAACCCCCAGCCCCAG